AAGCACAAGGAGCACTGAAGAGGCATCAGTGGTCCCTGTTTTCCTGGATCAGGCAGAGCCCAGTCACCCAGAGGAATCCCTAACAGCAGCCTCACCTCATTACATAAACTTTCAGTCGTCTAAAATAATGGATTTTGTTCCCAAAAGAGGAGTGTGTGTGTCTAGTCATTTGGGTAAAAATAGGAACGTTATACTTAGATGGTAATGAATGTGGAATGGAGCTCTTAACTTCTCACATGGCACATATGACTAAACAGAAGCCCTGTGTCTTTCTTTATGGAACACAGGTTCAGCGCAAACTACAGTAACAGTGTTTGGTTAATGTCAGCTCAGCTTCAAATTTACATTATACTTTTGTGAAGAAGCTCCAGTGTTATCTGTTAATAATCAAGGCAGTACCTGGGATTCTATAGACTTTTTGATTTTGCACAGGAACTAACACTGTAGCTGGCTGATGAAGGATCATGGGAGCTTGGAAATTTGGTGTGCCAAAGGATTCTTTGTATGAATAAAAATTCTGGTCAGTGAAGGTCAGTTTCTCTAAAGCGAGAAGAATGTTGTTTCCTTTCTAATCAGACACACATAGTGTTTGAAGAATCCAGAAGCCCCACATAAGTGATGTACAGCCATAGTCTGGCAGCTCCGCATGCAAGAAATGAATAATCTTTAATAAAGACCCAAACGACCCTGGCTTCTTACTGTACTGTAATCAGTTGCCTTAATGGTATGCCCATCAGTGCTTCGCAGGGAAAATGCTATAAAGTTATCTTCCTTATCTTGCTTCAAGGAGTGCTGATTTGGCCCAGTCAGTCCTCCCCCCATGTTGTATTTGATTCTGCTGTAAAGACCACTGAAGTCAGCCTCAGTTTTGTTGAAAGGCTAGCATTCCCTTTCTCTTTCTGGGTGATCTGTGCCTCTAAGGGGAACTGGACTTGAAACAGCAGGAGTCACCATCTTTATTGTTAGGCTGTGGAATTAGTTTTAAGCACATTCTAAATCCAGCCTTATGCCTTTTGGTTGTTATTTTTTTTTAAGTCTGTGACAAAGGTGACCCAATTGTGCTTCTTTGATATTATGAACACAGCTCTTTTTACTCATATCACAGAGGCATATAACAAAATACAAAGGACAAAATTGTGTCTGTGTTTGTAGTAAGGACACATATTTCATGACTAAATTCAATGACATAATAAAAAAAATGTTGTCCTCTCACAAGTGTAGTCATGAGCTATCAGGTAGAGACCACTTTTCAGGATATTTTTTATAGTGCTAAAAAATAATAGAACTAATGAAAATGTCACATTGACAGAATAGCCCATATTAAGATTTTACTTCAAGAAGGCATGGTTCGGTGAATGTGACATTGACTGCAATGGTGTTAGGGTTTACAGAGTTAGTAAAATGTTCTAAGAAGAATATTATAGAGTTCCCTCTGAAGTATGTCATTTTTTATTCTATTTTTTTCTTTTCTAGAATTAAGTAGACTCTGGGAATTAAGGAATTTTAGCTGCTTATCTGCCTAGAAGAAGTGTAGGGAGTTTTTCTTTATATCAGACTCTAATATAAGTTTATAATACAGTGCTTCCAAAGAAATAAGTTAATTTAACAATATGATAAAATGCATGTAGCTTAGGGCACTCGAAAAATATGCAAGTAGTAAAATTGTGTAATACTGATGCATTTCTCGGTAAACAAATATGCCATGTATAAGTGATTTAAGGTGTGTAAAAAAGAAATGGAGAATAACAGTGGAAAACAGAATGGTTGTACAGTTATAAACAGAATGGTTATAGCATCACTGAAGACTTTACTTAGCTCTCTGGGTTGGTTGAACAAATATTGGAGCAAATCTGGAATGAATAACACCTCTGTTTACTATGACAGGTTTTATTTGTCTTGGGTGCAGCCAAGACCACATGCTGTGTTTTGTCATGTTGGAAATACTGAAGCAGATTTTCATTGTGAATGTGAATTTTTTTTTAAAGCCCTAACACCTCAGTCTCAGCTAGGTAAAAGCAATCAAGTTTTCCTTTTTCTTACCAGCGAGACATCAATAAATCTTAAATCTCTCCACCAAAAGCATGTGTATCTGCAGTTCACTGTCCTGGTTGTAGTCTTAGGTCACCAGCATATATGACCTAATCCTTCTCATTTTCAGAAACTATATTTCTGCCTTTAATAAATCTAGTTTTTTATTTTATTTTCCTCCATACATATTGGTAATTCCACATCCTAGGAGGGTGTGTCACTGTTTACATAGAGCCTTCCCAAATCCACTGAAGCAGAAGTTTCTACCTAGGGTAAATATGTCTAACATCCTCCTCCTCCACACCCCCATTTATATCCTATGTAGACAAAGCTGTGTTTAGAAGCTGTGTCTCCAACTACAGTCATCTACTGGAGTGGTTAATTCTGCTGAATTTATAGAAAATGTGTATACCAGGGCTTAACACTTAGTTAAGCATAGTATAGAATATTGTGAAATTGTTTAGACCCACTTTCCACCTTGGAATAACTCAGGCTAGCAGATCCTTACAAAATTCTCATCACATCCTTTTTTTATGCATTATGAGGATTGTTTAGTTAGTAAGGAGATCCAGGTAGAAGTGCACGAGTAAGGGCTTAAGAGTGAAGACAAGATCATTGTTTTTATGGATCAGTATCCAATTTTTTTTTGTCCTGTGGTCTTTATTCTAGTTTGATATTAGTTGGTAGTTGTCTCTACAGTCATATCATTCTGTTTGAAATGAGTTTAAAGCTAATCTTACACTGAGAAGCCTGGTCGCCAGTGAAGATTAGCACTTAATTAATACAGTCATGCTCTGTGGAGCAGAGGAGGGCCAGATTCGAGGTGGTGGTGGAGGGGTAGAACCAGCTGCAGCTTCTCAGCCCAGAATCTTATAGATGCCCTAAGGAACACTAATTTTGAATTATGGTATGAAACAGAGCCAAATATTGACTGTTGTATCTTGGAGTGTCTGTTGAGGAATAGAGGTGAAATTAAAGAAGGTGAGAAAGGCTCACTTCAACACTTTTAACATTCAAAGAAATGTTTGAACACCTATTATGTGCCAGGTCAGTTGTGGGTGCTTGGAGATACAGGGGTGAACAAATGCCTGTTTTTATAGAGTTTTCATTGTGATATAGGGAGCATAAATAATTTTATGGCAAAAGAAAACTATAGCAGAGGACTAAAGAAAACTCAAGGTGTGAGGATGGAGAGTGATGGGCTGGCCAGCATTGGCCTTTCCAAGGAGGTGATATGAGGCCGAGGCCAAACAGGGAGAAGCTACTTAAGAGCTTTTCATGCAAAGGGAAAGCAAGTACAAAGATACTGAAGAAAAAATTATCTTTGGGTATAAAGGGAACAGCAAGAGAAACTGCAGTTGTAACTTACCAAGGTAGGGGAAGAGAAAGTGATAAGTGAAGTTGGAGAGATAGGGTCAAGCCAAGTTCAGAAGTTATGATCCCAGGAATGAGTTCATCTTTGGACTATTGATAAATGACAAAGCCAATAGTTCATATGTGTTTTAAAAGTGGAATTAGAATATTTATAGTTTGAAGGATAAAGCTGGAGGCTCAGTAGAATAATGGAATAACTGTACCCTACATCTTTATAATAATAATAAAAAAGAATAATGGAATAACTAGGGTATCTTTTTTTTTTTTTTTGAGTTTCACTCTGCTGCCCACACTAAAGTGCAGTGGCACAATCATGGCTCACCACAGCCTTGACCTCCTGGACTCAGGCGATCCTCCTGCCTCAGCCTCCCAACTAGCTGGGACTATAAGCACACACCACCATGCCCGGCTAATTTTTTTTTTTTTTTTGAAGTGGAGTCTCACTCTGTCACCAGGCTGCAGTGGCACACTCATGGCTACCCCAACATCGACCTGCTGGACTCCAATGGTCCTTCCACTTCAGCCTTCCAAGTAGCTGGAACTACTTGATTTATTGTAGAGACGAGGTCTCGCCAGGTTGCCTGGGCTGGTCTCAAACCCACAGGCTCAGGCAGTCCACTCACCTTGGCCTCCCAAAGTGCTGGGATTACAGGCTGAACCACCAAGCCTGGCCCTGGCTAATTTTTAAAAATTTTTTTGTAGAAACAGGGTCTGACTATGTTGCCCAGATTGGTGTCAAACTCCTGGGCTCTTTCCCAGGCTGGTGTCAAACTCCTGGGCTTAAGCAGTCCTCTCCTCTTGGTCTCCCAAAGTGCTGGCATTATAGGCGTGAGCCACAGCACCCAGCTAGTGTGTCTTGTGTTGAACAAAGTAGCAAGATGAGGGAGCTTCAAAGTCTAGTGTTTGACATGCTGCTGTTACCAAGCTGCTCTTATTGGACTATTTCCGGTAGAAACACTAGTACATTTGTGTGTGAAATTTTCAGAAGTTATGACAATCTTTTTTTAAAATACTTCTTAGGGAGTTGAATAGATTTCTTTTTCTGACAAGTTAACTCAGTCTGATTCTCCCCTATAGTTCTCTAAGTATAGCTTTGTGCATCTTTTGCAGCAGAGGAGAACAGGCCTCATAAGAGACAGCCTGTACCTTCAGCGGGGGATTTTTGCCTCATGCTTATTGTTTTCTTCACCATGACAGTGACTGCATGTTGAATGATTGCCAAAAAGATATGCTGTCTTTGTGAATACAAATCATCTCTGGAAACTTCCACATTTTAGGGGATCATTGGAATGCTGGCAAAATTGGCAGGTGAAATTTAATTTTGTATTCAAATGAACAAGCCCATGCAATTTACTTACAGAAATCAAGTGATTGAACACATAGCTAATCCGCTAATATGGATTTTTTCCATTCTAAATTCTGTTTTGTTTGAAATACAATGAAGGTTGAGGCACCACGGAGACGTACCAGATTTTCAGGTCTCTCTGATACTCCTGGACTTGAAAACAATTCTGAATCCTTCATATTCCATCATAAGCTTCAACTTACTATGCATATCGTAAGAAGCAAAGTTTACTGGTTTATTCTTTTTTTGACAGAATTGAGATGCTCTGGTTTCAAGGAAATCGCATGCAACTTGCCAAATCCTCCTTTGGGCTCTTCTTAAGAAATTTCTCTGCCTGTAAGACAACTCTGCCCGTACTGACCTTATTCACAAAGGTACAGAGTGAAAAAGTAAAAGTGTTGCAAGAAGAACGTTGTACATTTAAAAAAGGAGACAAAGTTGAAAGGAATGACAATGGAATAAACTTTATTCAGACCTACTCCTCAAATTTTCTGTCAGCGTACAGCAGTAACTCTGTTTCCTACTCAGATATCTCATTGTCTCACAATTATCAGAGGGTAAATTGACATAGTTAATAGGTTGTAATATGATGTTTAAAATGTATTATTTAGGAATATAGTCAATTCTCATTATTTGTGGTAGTTATGTTCTATAAAATCACCATGAACACTGAATTAGTGAATATTGAGCCATTGCTTCTAGGGGAAATACAGGGTTGGGTTTCCATGTGCCTCTGGTCACAGGATATTCATCAATTGATCGAATACATAACCGTGTTTTATGTGGGTCTCAGTTTAAAGACACCTTATTTTTATATATTGTTGATTAATTAACATTGAACTCAGGCCAACAGCACATATGGCTCATGCCCAAACAAAGCTTATTGTACATAAGTATTTTCTCCATAAAGTATATCCCAGTCTTCTTATGCTTAGAAGCACTAGGTAGCACTTCAGCACTATGCTTGGGGCTTATTTTAAACAGCAGAATCACCAATGAAAATCACAAAAAGAGCTGAAACAGGAAGGCAGAGTATCGCTTTGTTTGACCTCGGCTTGGAATGAGTACTTTGGGTGACTCCAGTTTTTCACTGCTCTGTGCATGTGCATGTCTATGAATGACTAAAAACCCTTTGAGTATTGATTTGGAGGTTGCAAATAAGTTTTAGCAAGTAGAAAAATCCATAGATATGAAATCCATGAATAATGAGGATTGATTGTACTTGTTTTCTTATCCCTAATACTAGTTTTAAACCATAAAGCTAGTTTTAAATTTTTAAGAGCTTTTTCCCCTGAAATGTATGATACAATGCATTACTGATTTCTTTTGCTAATTAACATCACTTTGTGTGATTTATAATAAAAAATAAAGTACAGAGTAATAGAAGAAACTTTTGTGAATAATATTACAATTCAAACAAAAAATGGTCTCTTTTTAATAGGTTTTTCAGAATCCAGCCACTTTAGCAATTTGAAAATATCTGACAGTTATCTAATAACAAATTTTAATTAGTTTTTAAAAATGAATTTCTTAGAGTATTCAATCTAAACTTTTCCTATTTGTAAAGTATATATTGTGCTGTTAGAAATTATGGAAACAACCGGGCTCGGTGGCTCAGCCTGTAATCCCACGCTTTGGGAGGGTGAGGTGAGTGAATTGCCTGAGCCCGCGGGTTCAAGACCCGCCTGGGCAACTTGGCGAGACGTCATCTCTACAATAAATAAAAAAAATTAGCCGGGTGTGGTAGTGCGTGCCTGTAGTTCCAGCTGCTTGGAAGGCTGAGGCGGAAGGATCACTGGAGCCCAGCAGGTCGAGGCTGCGGTGGCCAGGAGTGGCCACTGCACTCCAGTCTGGGTGACTGAGTGAGACTCCAACAAAAAAATAAAAATAAAAGAAATTGTGGAACCAAAAATATTTCATCTTCTGAGAGTCTGTGATGGGAAATGTATGTGAGAACCACAGAAATAAAATAATCCCTTTCGGCTAGAGTTGCTCACTTGGCCTAGCAGTTCTGCACTATTTTTCAGTTTGGGCAGCAGCTAATATAGCCAAAGTCATTTGTTTTTTTCTATTTTGTTTTTTTGTTTTTTTTTTTAAAGGGCACCAGTCTTCCATTCAGTCTAATGTTTGTACTGAATACTTGGTCTATATTATTAGGCACATGATAAGATATCACCCCCACCTTTAGGAGTTCACGATCCAGTGCAAGAAATACTTAAAAATACAGTATCACGTCTCAACCATTGGAAAGTATTTCCCAGAGAGACTTAAACAAAAAGGATTTGAGGGTTGGTTTGATTTCAGGAATAGCTTGATTTAGGAACTAAGCATGTTACCATTCTCTTCAGCATAACATCCTCTGGCTTACATTCATCCTTACCCTGGCCCTTCTCATGGATGACCGCAACAATCCCAAGCCCCAGATCTCACATCTCAGACACCTACAGAAACTCCAAAAAAAGTCACATGGCTGTCCATTGGCTCTGATTGGCCCATTCCTAAGGGATGTGCTGGTTGCTGAGCCTGAGTCTGGTGGTCCACCGTTGTTCAGGGTTGGAGTCAGCCACATGCTGAGAGTGGTTCCTGTGAAGTAAAATCGCCACGCTCTTGCAACAATGGAGAGGAGTCGGTGCGGGCAGCCATCCCAACAAATGCACACTGTGATTTACTGATGGAGTAACAAGTGCATTGCAAAATCCTAGAGAAGGGTATTAGAAGAGTCCAGAACACTGGGTCTTATCTTTTTTGGTTTCTTATTCTGCTAAAAATTTGATGAATCTAGGCTGGGCTCAGTGGCTCAGCCTCTAATCCCAGCACTTTGGGAGGCCGAGGCAAGTGGATTACCTGAGCCCACAGGTTTGAGACCAGTTCGGGCAATTTGGTAAGACCTCATCTCTACTAAATAAAAAATTAGCCGGACATGGCAGCGCGTGCTTGTAGTTCTGGCTACTTGGAAGGCTGAGGCAGAAGGATCACCAGAGCCCAGCAGGTCGATGCTGGGGTGGCCATGAGTGTGCTACGGAACTCCAGCCTGGGCGACAGAGTGAGACTCCAACTCAAAAAAAAATTTTTGATGAATCTTTCCTCATAAAAAATACATATACATATTAACATGTATAATTTGTATCGACTTGCATGAACCTGAGGTTTAAAAAACAAAGCGAAACAAAAAATTCTGATCTAGGTTCTAAGGTTTTTAAAATATAAGCAAACTTTTGGTACACTTGGCACTTCTGCAATTTAGCATGTTCTGTTTTGCTTTTGCTTTTGCTTTTTTTTTTTTTTTTTTAGTTGCAGTCTCACTCTGTCACCCAGACTGGAGTGCAGTGGCTGCTTCCGGCCAGTGCAGCCTTGACCTGCTAGGCTCCGGCGATCCTTCCGCCTCAGCCTTCCAAGTAGCTGGAACTACAGGCACGCGCTCCCACGCCCAGCTAATTTGTGATTTATTGTGAAGATGAGGTCGCGCCAAGTTGCCCAGGTGGGTCTAAAACCCGCGGGCTCAGGCAGTTCACTCACCTCAGCCTCCCAAAGCACGGGATTACAGGCTGAGCCACTGAACCCGGCTTGCTTTTGCTTTTAAGATGAAAATTTCAGAACGATTATCTTCAAACATTACAAAGTATTCATAATCTATTTATTGCTAATACTAATAACAACATGATGAGCCAGGAAATTAGGAGCAGAAAGACCCTTTAATGGTCTGAGTTCTTATTTCAAAACAAGCTGTGAGTTAAGCAGGAGGGAGTACTTCTCTTTTACATAATAGCTCATCTTTCCTGTCATGTTAAAAAGAAGGTTTTATATAAGCATCAGTAATGAAGAGTCTATTTTGAGCTCATGCAAGAGAACCTATAGCTAGTCCCTGTTCATAGTGTGAAGGGCTAAGAAGCCTTCATAGTCTCCCAGTGAGCCACAGTATTCTCAACAGACTTCTCCACTAGATAGTTTAAGAGTCAAACAACAATGGACACTAAAACTTGCTTGCTCTTCAGGTGAAGTTTGTTCAGGAAACCTGTTGTTGAGACTTATAATAAGAAAACAAGCAAAATATTACAGATTGGTAACAGTCACCACCCAAAGTGAGTAGAGATTTTTTTTTATTTATTTATTTTTTTTTGAGTTGGAGTCTCACTCTGTCGCCCAGACTGGAGTGCAGTGGCTGCTCCCGGCCACGGCAGCCTCGACCTGCTGGGCTCCGGCGATCCTTCCGCCTCAGCCTTCCAAGGAGCTGGAATTACAGGCATGCACTATCACGCCCAGCTGATTTTTTGATTTATTGTAGAGATGAGGTCTCGCTGCCCAGGCGGGTCTCGAACCCACGGGCTCAGGCAATCCACTCACCTCAGCCTCCCAAAGGCGCGGGATTACAGGCTGAGCCACCGAGCCCGGCTGTGAGTAGAGATTTTTCTCCCCCTTTTAAAATGAGGAGTTTACTACCTAATTCCATCATAATGGGTTTATTCTGTGGACTGATTAGAAAAAACAGGCGGGCAAGGCCCAGTGCTTCCCAGTCAGAACGGACTTTAAGCCATTCTGGTGGTGTCAGCCAGGCCAACTATATGAGGCCACAAGGGGGCTCCTGACCTAGGAAGGACAAAGTCCTTAGATCAATGAAAAGTAGTAAGCATCTGAATTTATTATGAGAGAGAGAGAACCCATGACCGCTTGATTTTTGGAGGAAAATCAAAACAACCAAAAAATACAGAAATACTAGTTATTAATAAGAGTCTATGGTAGTGTTTTGGTTTGGAAATAAAACAGTGTAATTAACCTGGTAGAAAACTATCCTTTAAAGTAAGTATAATCTGCTTCTTGTGTTTTTTTACCCTTAGGCCAAATGCCATTCTTTGTGTTTAATGACTTCATTTTTTTTCTTCCTGTAGGATTCATGTCCCCTTTGTGATGAAGCCAAGGAAATACTGGAGTCTTATAAAAACAGGGTAATATAATACAGTGTGGCTTTTATGTATATGGAATGCATTTGTATGTGGTATAAAGTGTCTGTCTGGATCCTTTCTTTAGGAAAAGAGATTAAATGATTTTTCATTTAAATTTTCTTTCTATTCTTCAGAGAGAGTTTAGTGCTGATTACCATAAAACTCATTACCCATAAGTGTTTTCCTCTGAGCAGCACTGGTTTTCTTACTCTGTTTCTTATTATGAGTCAAAGTTAACTAGCAGGTACAGTATCTGTGCTTTCTTTAAACTTTTGTCTCCATTCCTTTTATCTTGCTTTGTAATTTCTATGGAAGTGTTTTCATGTGACAAACCATCACACCTTTTCTATTCTTAAAAACCAAACACATCTGTCCTGATTCTCAGCCTGCTTCCCAAGTGAGACAAGTTTTATTTCATTGGAACTGAGTAGTGCTCTGATGCTGAATGTATCTGGTGTAACAGAAAAGTAGCAAGATTGGGAGGTAGAGAATATAATGAAACTAGACAAGTTTTGGAAACCGGGGGTATGAGATCATTGTGGACGTGAAACAAACAGCAACAGCAATGAAAACCTCTCAGCGTTAGAAATCATCTGGGGATCAGTTTAGCACAGCAGTTGTTGTATCACTCCATGTTCTCTAAAATACAGAGCTTTAGTCTGTTTGTGTTTCAGTTTATTTTACAGGAGGTGGACATCACACTTCCAGAAAACTCTGCTTGGTATGAACGGTATCAATTTGACATTCCTGTCTTTCACTTGAATGGCCAGTTTCTGATGATGCATCGAGTAAACACCACAAAACTTGAAAAACAGCTCCTGAAACTTGAGCAGCAAAGTACTGCTGGCTGACTAACACCCTCATGATTATCCACCCTCTCTTTCCATTAGGCATCCGCCTGAGGAAATGCCCATGGGTTCGAACCCCTTTGTTCCTCTTCAGAGCCCTAAGGATGTTCTAAACCCAGTGGTGCCAAATAAATGTTCACATTCCTGTTCTGGTTAATGGAAATACCAATGTGGGAACTGTTTACTTATTGGCATCTTAAAAAATAAGAGGAGTGTGTTGGCAGGGAGGGAGATGATACAGGGAGGGAGAAGCCCATTTGTCTTACTTATCCCTTCTGCATTAATATAGAAGCACTCTGCAGCCACTGGGCAGTGCCGTTTTTAGGAAGAAGGCTCTGCATTCCTGCTGCTGCCCTGGAGGGCTTAACTTTTTAATGAAAGAATAAATGTTCTCCCACTCAGTAGATAAAGTGAAATGTGAATTGTTAATAACTGTGCACGGTCAATAAAGGGATGTTTTAACGAATACATCTGCATGAAGTCTTTTTCAGTGGGATTTAAAAATACCTGTTTAAAATTAGAGTTCATTTTTGTTGGGTAGAAGAGAATAATTATCCTAGTCAAAGAGGCGTCATTTCAGAAAAACAAAAGAAAGACTTAAGCCCCCAAAATGTATATAAAGATCTCAGCATGCTTTACACATAGTCATTGCATTGATTCATAGTATTTGAGGACTGCCTTTGATAGTTATTCAGTTATTATCAACAGAGTTAATTCAACTTATTATAAGATAGGAGCTTTATTAGATTTTAATATCTTGGAAAAAATTCACTTCTAAATATGTTATCTAAAGATAAAATACTCTTCACCATTCTACATAAAGAATTGAAAATGTCATTGCACACCCTTATTAATATTTAGCCAGGTTCCACCAGTATAAGAATGGATTCACAGCTGGACTCGGTGGCTCAGCCTGTAATCCTGTGCCTTTGGGAGGCTGAGGTGAGTGGACTGCCTGAACCCACGGGTTTGAGACCCGGCTGGGCAGGCGAGACCTCATCTCTACAATAAATCAAAAAATTAGCTGAGCGTGGTAGCGCACGCCTGTAATTCTGGCTACTCGGAAGGCTGAGGAGGAAGGATCGCTGGAGCCCAGCAGGTCGAGGCTGCGGTGGCCGGGAGCGGCCATTGCACTCCAGTCTGGGCGACAGAGTGAGACTCCAACTCAAAAAAAAAAAAATAATAATAATGGATTCACTTAAAAACAAAACTTTCTTTCCTGTTAAAATCCCATCACTGCACAGGCTAGGTCTTGCCCCCAACCCCAATTTCCAGTATTCCCTGGACTCATTGCAGGGGGCCCATGTCATCTCACAGCATCCCCAACCATTCTGGATCCAACACAAATCTGAAGGCAACTTAGAAGGCCTTCCAAGTGGGTGCTGAAAGAAGTTTTGGGGGCGCCCAGTAACGACTCCACGCCGTCTGAACTGAGAGATTTATTAAAGGGGCAGTTACACAAAGGGACTGTAACCGAGGAAGGACGAGAGAGAGAGAAAAAGAGAGACCGAGAGAGAAAGAGAGCAAGAGAGTAAGAGAGTGGCAGGGACAGAGAGAAAGCAAAAAGGGGGGGGAGGGAGTGTGAGAGAAAGTAAGAGAGGGAGAGAGAGAGAGCTAACAAGAGAGTGGTGGGGACAGAGAGAAAAAGCAAGAGAGAGAGAGAGAGAGAGAGAAAAGGCAAGAGAGTGACGGGACAGAGAGAGGGAATAAGAGAGAGAGAGCTATGCAGGGAGAAAGGTATATTTATGAACCTTGCAGGGGCAGGCCAGTGCCGTGCCTGAGTCTTATTGGAGGAGACTATGAGGTAGCATTTCTATAGGAAGAGGTTGAGCACAGGTTTAAGTTTTGCGCGGGCGGGAAAGGCAGGAATTTATGGCCTTTGTTGTCTTTGGGAGGCAGAGCCATCTTGGGGATGCCCTTCTGACTGTGGTCTGCACCTTTCAGGTGCAGTGGCTCATGATGTAGTCTCAGCTACTAGAGAGGATGAGGCAGGAGAATTTTTTGAAGTTCAAATTCAGCCTGGGTGACATAATGAAACCATGTCTCTCTTAAAAAATAAAATAATTTTTAAAACCCTCCAAAATAACAATAGACAAAAATTTTAGCAACTGAATAGCATAGCAGTGTTTATAACTTATAAATTTCCAGAATACATCTTATTTGCTATTATAAATATCCATTGAGCCCTGGGGTAGGCAGAATTCTAGGATGATCCTAATGAGCCTCACCCTTGTATAATTCCCTCCCCTTTGAATGTGAATGGAAATATCACCACTGGGATAATGTTACGTTATATGGCAAAAGGGAGATTATTGTGGGTGGGCCTGGCCTAATTAGGTGAGCCCTTTAAAAGCAGAAAGTTCTCTCTAGCTGGTTGCAAAGAGGAAAGCAGATGTGCTCTAACTAGCCTGGAAGAAAGCAAACATCATGTGAATTGCCTACTGGGGCCACATGGCTAGCAACTGGGCATCCTCTAGAGACGAAGTAGTTCTTGGCTAAAAGCTAGCAGAAAAATGGGAATATAAGTCCTACAGCCAAAGAGATGGATTCTGCCAATAATCAGTGAGCTTAGAGGAGGACTGCAGCCTTGCCAACATCTTGATTTCTGCTCAGTAAAACTCCGATGTGAGAATCCAGCCACACTATGCCTAGACTTCTGCTTTACCACAACGGAAAGATAATGTGCATTGTTTAAAAGTGCTACATGTACAGGAATTTGTTATACCATAGTAGAGAAGAAATACAAGCCCTTACAACATTGAAGCACAATGGCAGGTGGGGGGAGTACAGAGATGAGATGAAGAGGGCACAGTCCTTGTCTTTGAGATATGCAGTCTTGAGACGCAGGGGGAGGCAAGTGAATAGAGCACATCACCATGCAATGAGGCTGGAACTGAGTGTGTGAGTATAGCATCCAGTGGGGGAAAGGAGCAGGAAGGCTTTGCAGACAATTACACTTAAGTTAGGTCTTAATGTTTGAATAGAAGCGGTAGTGGGAGTTGGGAGTGAGGAGGGTAGTCTCTAAGGAAGCAGTATATGTAAAACATGAGCATGTGGAAGGGCACAGCATACTCAGGAAATGGCAGGTGGCTTTGTGTGGCTGGAGTGAAAGGGAGGAGAGTGAAGGAGAGGAGACTGGCAAGTAGATTGGGGTCCCCACTGTGAAGGCCTTAGCTAAGGTGCTCCTGCCCCAGCAGCAGTAGCCTCCCTTGCTTCTTGCCTTGGTCCACTTCAGCACTCCTGGCTCCTGATTCCTCAGGGATATCTGACCTCCCTGCCCCAGCCTGTTGTAGTTGCTCTTCCAATCTTTAAGTGTGCTGAGCTCAACAGTCCCTTCTAGTAGTCCTGCAGGACAATCACACCCTCAATACAACCAGGGGGGTCATAGACAGCATCCCCCACTTATGTGTCTGGGTATCCTGTGTCCCTTCTTGCCTTCCCCAGGCAGGATGAGAGTTGTAAGGCCCCCACATCCTAGGTTGCTGATCCTTCTCCTGGGCCAGTTGGAAAAGTTCCAAGTTTCTTAAGCGTCTGCTTAGCTTAGAGGGGGAGAAACCATTGGTTCCCTTCAAAAAGCAGGGCTGGCCAGAAAGCAGGGACATTTGTTCTTTTGGAGTTCTCCTTTCCTGAGTATAATAACAATGTGGTTATGGTGGACAGGAAGTGCAGAGACTAAAGATGAAATAGTACTTCACCCAAACAATACATAGTTGACATTTGAATCTCAAAGAAACAAAAGCCCGTGATATACTCACAGGATGTTCAAACGAAAGTATTGGCTAAGGCACTAAGAAACAATGGGTGCTACAGTCCAAGGAAGTACTAGAACACTGTCAAAGATTATTGTAGACTGGGGAGAGAGAAGTTATCTGGAGGATTGTGTGCTCTCAGTCCCCACCAAAGTGGAAGGTTGGAAGTTTACCTCATATCAAGAGAGGGACATAAGTGGGATTCGTCAGAAGGCAGATGTATGAGAGGGAACCCCAAAAAACCTGGAAATTGTTTATAAAAATTTGTGTATTTATTCTTCCATGTTTATACTTCAGTCCCTTTCAAAGTATTCTTTGTTTGATACAATACAGCTATGCTTTTTCCATTGCTCAAAACTGTTTTTGAACTTGTCCATTTTAATGCCTTTTAGTGCTTCTGCTGTTTTTTGTTTCACCTCTTTCACGTTGGCAGAACTTTTCCATTTGAAGACTTTTTTCGTCAGGTATACAAAAAAAGTTGCTCAGGGTGAGATTGGGCGAATAGGGAGGGTAGGGCACTGGGGTCATGCCATTTTGGGTCAAAAATTGCTGGGCAGGTGCACCTGTAAATTGCCAATCATGAAATGGTCAAACACATTGACAGGATCTCAAAAAAAAAAATGTACTGAAGCTGAACACAGCCTCTCACAACAACGCTAGCTGGTACACTGATGGCAGTGGTTCCCAGAGGGAAGCTGTACTACGAGGGGCCTACCCTCGAAAAAGATAATTCTGGGTTTTTTGGGTTCCCCTTCATATGTCCTTAAGTAGGAAGAACACAGTGATCTAACTCTTCTAGAAAATCAGGAGAGAGGTGGACCAGCAAGCAGCTTCAGCTATAGAGTGAAGGCAGCTGCTGTTGCTTGGAGCTTGTCCAGGGGAAAAAAAATGTGTGTGTGTTTCCTTGTGGACCAGGTGTGAACCAAATATGTGAGGGAGCTGGAGTGAGGACGACTTTAGTGCAGTCAGGCGTCAAATGCAGAGAAGCAGAAGGGAACACTGGGTTACAAGAGCTGAGGGGTGTGCTAAAATGGCAAGCACATTTGCCCAAATCAAGGGAACTGCAGGCAAGAAGTTATCAGCAATGAATGGGTGCAGTCTCCCAAGAACCCACAACAGCTTCTGCAAAATGTAGTCTGCTTTAAGCATTTAACAGGTCCTGAAAGCAGGAGGCCCACTTATAATTCCACCATTGAGATAAGTACCCCTCCCCACTTCTCCTGCCTTCTCCCATCCCAACTCTAGAAAGATCAGAAGCTGCTGGAGCAAGAAGAGAAAGACCTTTCCATTCCTCGACTTCCCACCTGCAGATGGCTTCTTTTTTTTTTTTTTTTTTTTTGGGTTGGAATCTCACTGTCACCCAGACTGGAGTGCAGTGACAACTCCCGGCTACTGCAGCCTCGACCTGCTGGGCTCCGGAGATCCTTCCACCTCAGCCTTCCAAGTAGCTGGAACTACAGGCGTGCACTACCACACCCGGCTAATTTTTTTGATTTATTGTAGAGATGAGGTCTCGCCAAGTTGCCCAGGCGGGTCTCGAACCCGCGGGCTCAGGCAGTCCACTCACCTCAGCCTCCCAAAGCGTGGGATTACAGGCTGAGCCACCAAGCCCTGCTCAGATGGCTTCTTAATAGGGAAAAAGATGAGTTCATTTTAAATCTATTCCGAAGTTTTGATTATGATGTGGGATCAGACTCACTAAAAGCAATTTAAAGTGAC